ATAATTAAGCACTAATCAGGCTGCGCTTTGTCCCACTTCCTTGTGGCTAAAAGTCACACAGCAGCAGATACTGACCACTTATATTCTTATTGTTCCTACAGACAGGATCTCTGACATTCAAATCATAAGGCTTTTGTTTAAGGATCATTAAGATGTTTTCAGACCCTGAATTCCAGCAACCAGTGTGAAGACCCCCACAGCAGAATGGGGTCAGCATGAGAACACGGCATCTTCACCTCTCTGTCCTATGACTTCCCCCAGGTAATCATTTCTACACTTCTGCCCAATCCAAGACACGTAAAAACCCTAGTCCTGAACTCCTCGGGGAGAGGGGTTTGAGGTTTCCTTCCATGTCCTTCTTCAGTGACACTATGATCAAACCTCTGTCTGTGTTGCAACTTGGTATCTTGGCTAGCTGACTTGCACTGGGTGATGAACCTGTTACAGTTACGAGGCTATTGTCTGTTCTTCAGGACCCTTCATTTCCCCTAAAAATCATTTCCTCGTCCTCTAAAAGTACCAACATTTGCCACGTCCCTCTCCTCTAGGAAGAGCACATTTTGGTTCCAAGCACCTGGCCCTTCTCTGAGCTTCCTGCTTTGTGTGACTCTGCCTGCTTTGGCATCAGGCTGTTTGCCCGCCTTTTTTCCTGTTTATCAGTTTGTTTTGTGGACTCAAATTTCAGAGGTGGAAGGGAAATTCCTTTTATCCCTACAGGATTCAAAACACTATTTGAAAGAGGTTAGACTACGTTTTCCTTTTCCTCATCTTGTGAAGAAAATTTGAAAACATCAGTTCTCCACATTGTGAGCTTCCAGTTTCTCTGTGATTCTGAAGTACAATTTTTAAAGGAATCTGGTAAACAGGTCTTCACCTGTGGGGTCACTGCCTTAGATAATTTATGTTAGCTTGAGAGAGAGGAAAACATCTTGATTTTCCTGTGAGCCATCTAACTTATACTTTTTTTTCTTTTTTTTTTTGGAGTCTTGCTGTGTTACCCAGGCTGGAATGCTGTGGCACAATCTTGGCTCACCGCAAGTTCTGCCTCCCGGGTTCAAGCAATTCTTATGCCTCAGCCTCCTGAGTAGCTGGGACTACAGTCACGTGCCACCACACCTGGAATAATTTTTGTATTTTTAGTAGAGACAGGTTTCACCGTGTTACCCAGGCTGGTTTTGAACTCCTGACCTCAAGTGATCCATCCACCTTGGCCTCTTAAACTGCTGGGATTACAGGCGTGAGCCACCATATCTGGCCCCATCTGAATTATGCTTTTAAGGTGAATTTTTATACCATCTTCATTATTTTACTTTATCTATATAGATAGTTCATAAATGAAAAGACAAAATATTTATGCTTCTAACAGTACATTATTAAATCAACTCCTTACATATTTTAAGTTCAGCCTAAAGCTTTCTCTGTACGTAGTGAGCCATAACCTAAATGGAGGTGTAAACAAACTGTAGCCCACTCCTGTGCCAACCACATAGTTTCGGCTGATCAAAGTGGGGTGATTGTTCAAACCGGGTTCAAACAAGGCAGATGCCACGCTGTCATCAATATGGCTGTTTCTGTTCCCCACTTCGGTTTTCTAGACAAGTTATAACCAGTGAGACCGTTCCTGTTCCTCACTTCGGTTTTCTAGACAAGTTATAACCAATGAGACTTTCTGTTCACCACTTCGGTTTTCTAGATAAGTTATAACCAATGAGACTTTCTGTTCACCACTTCGGTTTTCTGGACAAGTTACAACCAATGAGACTTTCTGTTCACCACTTCGGTTTTCTAGACAAGTTATAACCAATGAGACTTTCTGTTCCCCACTTCGGTTTTCTAGACAAGTTATAACCAATGAGACCGTTCCTGTTCCTCACTTCGGTTTTCCGGACATCACTGTCCTTTCACTGCCTGTAAATCTTCCACCAGGTGGCTTTGCTCGTCTCTCTTTGCCAGCTCTGGCTCAGGAGGCTGCCTGATTTGTGAATTGTTCTTTGCCCTATCACTCTGTTAAATTTAATTTGGCTAAGGTGTTTCTTTTTCTTTTCTTTCCTTTTTTTTTTTTTTTTCTTTTTTTGCGACAGGGTCTTGCTCTGTCACCCAGGCTGAAGTGCAGGGGCTCACTCTTAGCTCACTGCAGCCTCTGCCTCCCAGGCACCATGATCCTCCTACTTCAGTCTCTTGAGTAGTGGGGCTTACAGGCCTGCACTACCATGCCCGGCTAATTTTTGTGTTTTTTTGTAGAGGCAGGGTTTTGCTACGTATCCCAGGCTGATCTCAAACTCCTGGGCTCAAGTGACTCACCCGCCTTGGCCTCCTAAAGTGCTGGGATTACAGGCGTGAGCCACAGTGCTCAGTCAGATTTTTCTTTAACATCTTTCTGTCTTTTATTACAAGTAGAGTAACCAGGTTATTCTCTTGCTGTTTGAGTGACTTGGTGTTTCAGATCTGTAAGTCCCAAATTCATGAAATTTTCCTAATTTAACCATAGGCTGAAATTAAAACTAGGAGATTAAGAATTTTCTTAGTTTAGGCAAATCTGCCTAGGTAAGCAGGCAATGTTTTTTAAAGAAACAAGCAAAGAATAAATTCTTTACAAAGAATTGATAACTCTCTAAGGATTCATTAAGAGTTACCTAGATAGAAAACTCTCATTGTGCATTTTAAACTATGTTTTGGAGACAATATTGTCTCAGAAAAATTTTGTAAAGTACTTTGTCTGCGGAAATAAGGTGTCCTTGGTGCGCCAGAGGAAGGAGGTACGAAGCTGGACCACCAGCAGGAGGGCAGCAGCCACCAGAGTCGTAAGAGAAAGGCATCGGGGTCTCCATGGCAACCAGGACCCGCTGACCTTCCCCTTCAGCTCCCTGGAGAACAGCCTGCCTGTGCCAAGCCTCACCCGCTTCAGAAACAAACGTTTTATCGCCCCATTAAATTGTTCCAAGAATTCCGGTTTACGAAACAGTACCAATTACTTTAGCTGAGCCTAATCTCTGCTGTACTCACCAAGAAATGCTTTTCTGATACAGTAAGTGCAATAAATTTTCTTTTAAAAAGCACATTTAGAGTGAGCACAAAGGGAAAAACGACACTTTCATGCTACATTTATGTTCATTGAGGTTTGCAGGGTGTTTGTTCAGGAAGTGAGTGGACTTGTTTTCCAGCCAAGATCTGGGGGCAGCACCAGCTCTCCGTGGAGAGTGGGTGCTTGCCGGGGGCCGGAAAAGTTTCCAGCGGCCATTTGCTAAAGATTTCTGTCTGTGTCCTCCCTCTCTCCGCCACTTACTAGTTGTGGCTCACAGACAAGTTTCTTCAGGTCACTGCACCTTAGTTTCGCTGTCTATAAAACGGAGGTAATAATTGAACTGACCTCATCCAGCTATTTAACAGAAAATGAGCTAATATATAAGAAGTCCTTATTATAGCAGTCAATAATATCTGCTATTATATCTCTTTATTATGTTATTATAATTATTAAATAACTATTATGTAACTATATTATATAACTATTATATAAATATTATATAACTACTATATAATTATTATATAACTATTATAATTATCTCTTTATTTCACCTCAGATAGTATATTTCCTCCTTTAGTTTCAGCATCTAGTAAGCTCAATTATTATTATGTAACTATTATATAACTATTATAAAACTACTATATAATTATTATATAACTATTATTATAATTATCTCTTTATTTCACCTCAGATAGTATCTTTCCTCCTTGAGTTTCAGCATCTAGTAAGCTCCAGAAAATTTCTCTTGTTCATTTTATCACACTTATTTTCCTTAAGCACTGAGTCTCCTCTCAACCAGACTGTAGAATGCATGAACTTGGAGGCACACACTTTATGATATCTTTGCGGTTTTAGATCAAGGCCTTTAAAAGTCTTCAAGGGAATAAAAAGACTCAGACTGACTTTGGCCTTCTTAGAACCACAGGAGATACGGTCTTCACTGTAGAATATAACTAGTTATAAAAAAGCTAGTTGGCCAGGTGTGGTGGCTCATGTCTGTAATCCCAGCACTCTGGGAGGCCGAGGTGGGTGGATCACAAGGTCAGGAGATCGAGACCAGCCTGGCCACATGGAGAAACCCCATCTCTACTAAAAATACATAAATTAGCTGGGTATGGTGGCATGTGCCTGTAATCCCAGCTACTTGGGAGGCTGAGGCAGGAGAATCGCTTAAACCGGGGAGTTAGAGGTTGTAGTAAGCCAAGATTGCACCATTGCACTCCAGCCTGGGTGGCAGAATGAGACTCCATTTCCAAAAAAAAAAAAAAAAAAGCTAGTTAAACTGGACTTAAGGGTTAAGTACTGGACATTCAGACCTGGCTCATACCCTACTTCCTCCAGTGATATAGTGGAGTGTCCCAGGAAAGTACGTTTGATGTCACTGAGACTAAAGAGTATCTTTAAAGTGAGGTTAACAACAATTCACAGCATTATTTGAGTGTTACACATAACACTTAAAAACACATTGTAAAGTCCCTGATGCTTACTAGCACTCACAAATAGCAGCTATTATTATCATCATTTCTGCTAATACTATAATAATATATTTTCTTAGCATGACATTTATTTTCATGTGACAGGGTACCAATGTGTAGTGTGTTCCACAGGGCATAGATGTGAATGAACACTCAAGATGTAATTTCCCCTCCATCGAGTTCTGTTATGTAAATAGTGCTAATAATAGAGTAGAACACATTTTTGTATTGCAAAATAATAGGACAGTAAATGGTAGAACAAGGAAAAAGTACTAAGTACACAGTGAATTCATTAACACACTTTCCAGCCAAATGTGTAGATACACGCAGATAAACCTATATTTCAGCTATTTCAAGCACTGAGATAGCTACTGAATGAAACAGCACGTAAAACACAATGTACAAAAAATACTTCAAACCTTTTGTACCAAATTAAATAAAACATGTATGCTATACGGTATCAATAGGAAAAGACGGGTTCACTGAATAATCCGTTTTGTTACCTGAGTTGGAGCCACTAATTCCAAGTCTGAGGTCGACTCAGAGTTGAGAGCGCTTTTCCCGCCACTCAGTTCTGGTTGAGATCTGTGCTCTGAGGACCTATAAGGGATGCATTAAGGAAATTAAATGTACCTCTAGAACCAAATTAAGCTATAAATCCAGCCAAGAAACCGAGGTCTTTGAATCATTGAAAGCCATGATGTCAAAGCTCTCATCAAACTTCTGACGATACAGATTAAGTGTTGTGTATTTCTATGATAATGGCCACTTGCACTTTCCGAATGTAAGAGGCTACAACGTGCTAGGTGTTATTATCTTGGATTGACTAAAAACTCCATTCAACTATGGGCATAAAGTAAACAAATGAAATACATTTTTGTTACAGAAATCCTATTTTATTAAAAAATGACATATTTTTTTGAGGGGGAGGAACTTCCCACAGAGTGTCTCAGGAGAGATTTTATCTTTCTGTAGAATTTGAAATGTCGTGATAAGTGAAGGTGTGGAAGGTAAGGAGGAGACAGAAGCCGGACCCTGCCCTTTAGGAAGCTTCAAAAATACGGTATGACTCGGGTGGCCAGACTTTCTCATAAGCGTCCATGCCTTATTTTTAACTATTTCATTATCTGATAGTGGATGATTGAGCAAACCAGAAAAAGGCCCCTGAATAAATTGCAAACATTTAAGCATTACTTATGTAACACGTTGACTATGCTCATGCATACACATCTGTTTTTACTCATCAGCACAGTTTCGCATTCAGAACATTATTAACAACGTTGAATTACAAGTCTCTCAAAACTCTTACTGACTGAGTTGAATTAATTTTTGATGGTTGAGATGAAATAACCCACGCTGGTAGAAGCCACAGTAATTAGCACGGGTATATAGGGGTTACATGTGACGCCAAGTATTTGCATTGACATAACTCATTGGTTATTTCAGTGCCAGTCAGAAAGCTGATACACAAATGGGCATTTTCTGGCATTGAAGAACCTTACCATAAGAGCTCTTTTGATCCAGTTCTGGATGAGCATGATTTTCTCTCTGCCATTGGATGTCCCTTGCTGTTTCGATCTCCGTGAAACTTCACATCATCCCACTTTTCCAGCTGTGTTTGAATGTCTAGTAAGCACAGAGGAAGGGGGCGAGCAGGCGGGAGAGCATGTGGTGCAGAGAAAAGAGAGATTTGTTAAGATAGAAAAATCTGATCCAAGTGAACTTCATTCAACCGATGTTCTCAAGCCCCAAGACCAACCTTTATCTTTTCCATGTTGCATAAAAATTAAAACTTGTGCAGCTAAATAGATATCTCCTATTAAGAGAAATTGCATTGCTTTTACAGTTAAAGCAACCAAGCTGTTTAACTGAATTTATTTCTGAAGCTGTGTGCATTGTGAATCTTGCATATGGGCCTGTGTGATCTGGTGTGGAACACGGATCTGGAGGACTGCCCTATCAGTCTCTGGCTAAAGAGGGGGCTTCGGGGCGTTTCCAGCATGATTCCAGAAAGAAATTCTATTCAAACAGATGAGCTTCAACGTTAAAAAGAGGTGGGAATAAACCAGGACACGTTCACAGCTTTTGAATAAAGCATGTAATTTTCCACCGAAGGAGGGCATTTATAACGGGGGAGAGAGAACAGAGGCAATGAGGGCAGCCAAGGGAACGCTGGAACCGTTTTACCCCTGTGGCTTCGTTCCTACACATAAAATTCTGGCTAGATTCTCTCTCATTAACAGGTGTGTGGCTGTGCATAAACCACTGAAGCAATCGTGGGGTTCAGGTTTTTAGTTTATAAAAGGATCAGGTCAGGCATGGTGGCTCATGTCTTTAATCCCAGCACAGTGGGAGGTGGAGGCGGGTGGTCACCTGAGGCCAGGAGTTCGAGACTACCCTGGCCAACATGGTGAAACCCTGTCTCTACTAAATGCAAAAAAATTAGTGCGGTATGGTAGCGCATACCTGTAGTCCAGCTACTTGGGAGGTTGGGGCAGGAGAACTGCTTGATCCCAGGAGGTGGAGGTTTCAGTGAGCCCAGAAGGCATCACTGCACTCCAGCCTGGGTGACAGGGTAAAACTCATTCACACACACACACACACACACACACACACACACACACGATAGGTTTGCAGTTGATGTTCTCCAAGGTCTTTTTTTCCCTTCTTTTTAAAAACTGTGGTAAAATATACACAACAAATTGACCATTGAAACCAAATTTTAGCGTACAATTCACTAGCATTAGTACACTCACACTGCTGTGTAAGCATCACCACTGTTCACCTCCAGAATTTCTCATCATTTCAAACCAAAACTCTTTACTCATGAAATGCTAACTCCTGATTCCCCCTCCCCCACAAACCCTGGTAAAATTTATTCTACTTTCTGTCCCTATGAACTTGGCTGTTGTAGGTGACTCATACACGTGGAATCATACAATCCAGGTCTATTCTTCCTTATGCAAAATGTTTGGGACCAGGAGTGTTTCGAATTTGGGATTTTTTTTCTTAGTTTTTGGAATACTTGTCTGTGACATAATGAGATATTTTGGGACTGGGACTCAAATTTAAACATGAAATTCAATTATGTTTCATATACACCTTACATGTACAGCCTGAAGGTAACTATGCAGTATTTTAAATACTCTTATGCATGAAACAGAGTTCTGACTGTCATATGAAGTCAGGTGTGGAATTTTCCACTTACAGATTTTGGAGGATTTCAGATTTCTGAATGAGGGATGCTCAGCCTGTATCTGTCGTTTTGTGCCCAGTTTAGCTCACTCAGCACGATATCTTCAAGGTTCATCGTAGCGCGTAAGCTATTCCTTTGCAAGGCTGCATAGGTTAACTGTATGTATATACATTCTGTTTATCCTCTTGTCTCATGATGCGTTTCAGCCGTTTCCACCTTTACACTGTTGTGAGTAACACCGCTATTCTTAAAGGTGCTTTTTCAACTAAGTACTTTTATAGCTTCTTCAAGGACTTTTTTCTTCAGAAGCAGAGAAATAAATGTTCATCATCTGCATGTTTATTGTGTTATACTGTAATATATCGGTATATTACTTTTTAGGACAACGTCTTACTCTCTTGCCCAGGCTGGAGTGCTGTGCTGCAATCATAGCTCACTGTAGCCTCAATCTTTTGGGCTTAAGTGAGCCTCCTGCCTCAGCCTCCCAAGTAGCTGGGACTACAGGCTTATGTCGCTATGCCAGGCTAATTTTCAAATTTTTGCAGAGATGAGGTCTCACTATGTTGTCAAAGCTGGTCTCAAAGTCCTGGCCTCAAGCAGTCCTCCTGCCTCAGCCTCCCGAAGTGCTGAGATGTCAGATGTGAGCCACTGCACCCAATCAATGTATTAACTATTCTTACGTAAACTTATGAATGTTATTAACTTACTTGTACAACTGAATAAACCCAGATGGTGAGGAAATAGAAGGGACAGTTATAAACTTTCCCTCCAAAGACAGACCTCAAAGAGGGATGGCAGGGAGAGGGTTCCTGTGCATGCCACTCATCTGAACGAGCGCTTGGTTCTCGTCCTGTTTTTTACAATCGATTCCTGGCAGAGCTCATCTACACCCAGGTTCCAACACCCATGCATACCCAGGCTTCTGATTCACTCCGCTCTTTTCCTCCAGTTCTAGAATTCTAGACGTAACAGTCTGTTGGAGGTATCCAGGAGAAGTCCCATCACTTCCTCAAATGTAGCAGGTTCAAAGCTGAACTCAACAGTTTGCTCCTGCTCTTCCTCTCTCTTCCGGCAGGGAGCCTGGCACATTCTATCTACACGCCCCCACTGGCTCACATACACGTATTATCTGAGTTTCCAAGTCTTGTTTTTATATGTTTTGAAAGCTGTCTCTCTCTTATTATCCCCCTTGTTCCTGTCGGGTCTCTGCAATGCTCTCCCTGCCCCGATTCCTCATCCATGCATCCACCAGAGCCGGATTTGTTCTAACACAGAAACTGCTGCCGTCATCCCTCTTAGCAGAACCCTTCAAACACCTTCCCTCCTCCCCCAATCTTAAGGGCACGGCGTCCAAGAACTCCCATCATCTTACCACTGGGGACTCTCAGACGTTTTCTCTCGCTATTCTGCCATCCTTGAGTACCACTGAAATATGTGTATTTACTTAAAAAGACATCTTTCCGTGTTTATCTGTGTGTGAACCCCTTTCCTTTCTGCCCCAGGGATGCCCTTCCTCGCTCTCCCCACCTCTCTCCTGATCTGTCTGGAATCTGGCAAACTCCGACGCATTCCTGAAGCCTCAGCTCACACAGAGCCTCTTCTAAGACGCCTTCTCCCACTGGCTGGGGCCATGGCACGAGGAGGAGGCTCAGGCAGTAGTAACTGATCTGGGCTTTCCTTCATTGCAGCATATAGTTAATCTTTTATTATAATCATTTAATCATTTTTCTGTCTCCCTGCTAGACTGTAAATTGCTAAGGCACAGAGAGCTTACATCATTTATCTTTGTATTCCTAGTGCATAGTATGTGCTGGAAATATGGTAGACACAGAGAAATGTCTACTGAACAAACGAATAAATTAATGATGACAACTTATCATGTATATATCATAGTAATAAGTAATAAGTGATGTCACGTATAGATCTAATTTATCCTTCACAGCCTTATGAAGAAGCTATGATTATGATCTCCTTGTGAATGTATAAACAATATTTACCTCCCCCCACATATATACACACACACACAGCAGTCAGTCACAGCCAGGGAAGATTCATGTTCCCCTGGGCTTTCTAAAATACCTGTCACTGTTCTTTTCTCGAGAAACGAGGGCTTAATGTGTCCAGTTCCAGGAGCTGAGAATTCAGCTGTCTTTTCTCAGAGGAGGTAGAATATGGTGGAAAACGTATGGGCTTTAAGTTAAGCAGAGCTAGGCTCAAACTTCAGCTCTTCCTCTTATAAACTGCGAGACCTTGGGCAAATTGCTTAAATTTTGAAACTTGGTTCCTCACATATTTCAAAGGATAATTTAATGAGATAATATACGTCAGTAACGTAGTGTGGTTCCTTAGGCATTGTAACCCACCATCAAATGGGGGCTGTTATTATCGCAATGCACAGATTCCCACACACATTTGTCACACACTGTTTCATCCGCTGACGCTGGGCCTTGCATTAGGGTTGTTTACTCACAAGTCCCCCTTTCTCATCCTAGGCCAAGTGCTCCTAAAGAGCAAGATGCATGTTTTATCTTTATTTGTGACGCTAGTGTCTAGCCTGACGTACCTATCAATAACTCTATATTTGTGGGTTGAATACATAAATGAATCAACCAGTTATGCAAAGTTGAGCTCCCAATGGCTCTATAATTCAAGCCAGGTCCTGCCCCGTTTCCACCATGGAAGACGCCTTTTCTAGCCCTTGTTCACTGTTTAATGCCATTGGTGGAACTTTCCTCTCGTATCCACGCCAGCACAGCAAGTTTGAACATCCACAGCCACAGGTGATTGCCTTACCTAGATCTAAGGATGAAGTCTCTGGGGCTCTGAGAGGTTGGCCTCTCTGCTCAGCATCTGTGCCGATGAGGTCAGATACGTCGGCCTTTTTCTTGAGGGATGAGGTTTTTGATGAGGGCTCTGACTTCTTGGCTTTGGTTTGGGTCTGAGAGACTGGTTCACTCAGGTCGAGGAGATCTAAGCCAGTGGTCAATACTATCAGAAATGGAAGAGGTTAAGAGAAGCCCATTTATTACTCTGAACTTATTATTATTATGATTATTTGAGATGGAGTCTTGCTCTGTCACGAGGCTGGATCACCGCAACCTACCCCTCTCGGGGTCAAGCAATTCTCCTGCCTCAGCCATCAGAGGCACGCGCCACCACGCCTGGCTAAGTTTTGCATTTTTAGCAGAGATGGGGTTTCACCATGTTGGCCAGGATGGTCTCGATCTCCTGACCTTGTGCCCCACTTGCCTTGGCCTCCCAAAGTGCTGGGATTACAGGCGTGAGCCACTGTGCCCGGCCTGAAGTTATTTTTTAAAATAGGTTTCAGTTGGGTACAGAAAGATTTTGTGTTTGTAGGATAGGTTAGAATAAAATTAAGTCAGCTCACCACTGATTTATAAAGACTGCTTGTTAGACTGGGATGTTCACTGCATCTGTTCTTATATTTGGTGTAGCACAAATCAGTAAGAAAGGACTTAGACCAGCCTCAGCAATGACGAAGCTTTGAATGACATTAAAATGATCAAACTGAATCTGTGTTCAGGTGCTATTCACTTTACTGCTTTATTTCTATCAAGGTTATTTTAGATTGCAGTTTCCCAGAAAGGAGTCTATCATATTCAGAGATTTAGTGAAGCTTTTGAATGTCTTTTTGTTTTAATTTTAAACAATAAAGTATATGGGATGCAAAGCAGTGCTGTTAATCATCTTTTATTTAATTAAGCAGTTCAATCAGAAAATGGCACCCTGTTTGGGTTCCCACAAGAGAGGTATTTTATACTCCACAGTCTGATGAATAGGTACACACGTTAACACCTTTGCTGTTGAGTATGCAAATTTAAATTTCAATGTAACAAACTATAAAACTGTTACACTTTTACTTCCTAGCAGGTTGATTACATTGCATTAAACACGCTGATGAAAGCAGAAATAATAACTTGTTCAAATGCAAATTAGGCACATGAGAATTTAAAAAGCAAGTTTTATAACCTTCACTGCTTCTTTCTTTTACAGTGCCCATAACCAGGCGTGACTAGCTCATTGCGAGAAACAGAAAATTCAAACTGAGAAGGTCCTCACAGCTCTGCCTCTCCCCCTGTACCTGCTGTTCCGCTGGCCCTGGCACTGCCCTGGAGAGACTAGCTTCGGAGCAACACTGGTGGCTTCCTGGCGTGGAATCTCTGCACCCAGCTACTTAGGCAAGCCACAGAAAGACAAAGCACACTATTGCATTAACCCTCCGTGGCGGTCTGCAGCAGTAACCGCACAGCTCCTCTTTCATCTCCAGCCTTTTTCTCTAGGTGGGGAATGGGTTTTTACTCTTGTGTCTGCTTCTCCCTTGTACTCAAAGGCAGGGGCAGGACTCCACCGAACTCACAACCCGGATTCCTTTCGTACCGCACTGCCTCATGAGCTAAGCACTCCTTCGGGATCTTCAGGACGGTGTGTCAAACTTTACTCTTAATAACCTTGCTTTCTGATTCCAGTTCCAAGTCGCAGTGGTTGGATGCTGTTGGTGAAGTGGAAACGGCTGTCTCTGTCACTGCTCAGCTGTGTGGCATGAAGTAAGTTTCTTGACCTCTCTGAGTTTCAGTTTCCTCATTTGAAAATGGGGAATTAATTGTCTTTTAGGTATAAGATGAAGATTAAATGACTGAATGCATGTAAATTGCCAGGCATCCAATAGGTACTCAATAAATATGATTTCCATTCTTCGGTGGCTAATTTGTGATGTTTTTCTGTCCTTTTAGTTGCTGCTGCTACGGTTGTTGATGTCCTCCTGTTTTCTCTGTTTCTTTTTGAGACAAGAATCAGATCCTCACACTGACAGAAAGAAAATGCTACTGGGAATGAAACTGGAGATGAGACAAGATATTGGTTCTGCAGAGGATCCTCTGAAGTCAATTCATCATAAAATGGCCTGAAAATGTCAGCTTATCTCAACAGAATCTTCCTGAGGCAACAGGAAGCACTCTCCAATACTAAGATGCCCTGAGATACCAGGGACGCTCTGTGGCTAGGAAGTACTTCACTGCGGAGGGAAAGGAGTGGCATTCAGAACTGACATGCCTGGCTTTACGTCTCAAATGGAGGTATGGCAGACAGCCAAAGCAGGCTGGAATGCCTCTCACTTCATACCCCCTGAGCATTCACACAGAAATGTCCAGACCACTATCACGCTGGTAAGGAGTCTAGGCACAATGTGATGTTCCTATAAAGGAGGAAAGGAAACTGATGACAGCCTATGGAACGCCATATATATCTTTTTACTAATCATACAAACAATTAAGAGTTAGTCACTTGCTCCTAGACTTTTAGGAGCAAATTACAAAGGAATTGTCTACTTGAACATAGGAAGTACATTTGTAACAGAAAAACAACGGGCGCGTACTAATTTAATTCTCTGTCTGCTTCTCGCCATTCAGAATAAATGAATTACTAAAAGGGTAAACTGCGCATTCAAACTTGGCTCAGTCAGGTTCTCTCCCCCTCCAAAGCGTCCTGGGCACTTCCTGCGTTTGTTCTGAGCTCTTTGCCTCTTTGCTCTTTTCCTTGCAAATGTGAAACAAATGCTTGGCACATATAAAAGGCCTAATTGGTTAGCCAGCTGATGAAGGAGGTGGCTTGAAGGTCAAATGGCAAGCTCTGAAGCTGGGAAAGTCCCTGCAGAGTACATTTTCAGAAGCAGAGAAGGGTGTGTGCGGCCCTTTTAGCATGTGTGTGTCCTTTAGTTAAGATTTAAAAACCAGGATCTTACGGCTCCACACATGCTTCAAAGACAGCATGCCTTAGTATGGAAGGGCGGTGTCCGCTCTCCTGACTTTAAAGTCCTATTGTGAAGATTCTTTAAGCACGTGAAGGTTTGGGTTTCAGTATCTGCGTGCTTAAATTAACAGCACCAACGTGTGTGTGTGGCGGCTTACATTTTAAACCCCAGTGCTTTGGGAGGCCAAGGCAGGAGGATTGCTTGAAGCCAGGAGTTTGAGACCAGCCTAGGCAATATAACAAGATTCAGTCACCACAAAACAATTAAGAAAATAAAAAATAAATAGCCAAGCGTGATGGCTGTCACCTGCAGTCTCAGCTGCTTGGGAGGCTAGGTGGGAGAACTGCTTGAGCCCAGAAGTTTGAGCCAGCCTGAGTGACCGAGTTAAGACCTGTCTCTCAAAAAAAGGAGCACAAAGGATAATCTCCTCTTATAGTGAATGTGAAAAGTGTGTGCTTGTGTGCGTGCATGTATGTGTGTGCATGAGTGTGTGTGGGAGTGTGCACATGTATGTGTGCATGCATGTGTGCACGTGTGTGCATGTATGTGTATGTGTGTGCATGTATGTGTGTGCACGAGTGTGGGAGTGTGTGCACGTGTATGTATGTGTGCATGCATGTGTGTGTGTATGCATATGTTAGTGTACACACAATAAAATACCTAATGGGTGCAATCGTGTTTTCACATACGCAGCCTTTTCCCTGGACCGTCAGTCCCCATCACAGCTTCACAGGCTGCGAGACCCCACTGCCCGAGGGCTGCCACTGACTGCACTTCCATCTGTGCTAGCCGGGGAATCCCAGCTCAGTTGCTTCTAGGTGGTTTTGCCAGCCACCCTCGTAGCCTGCCTTCTTCAGTTTAACGCATCTGTTTCGGGGTCTTGATGTTATGTGTTTACCGTGCATAAAACACGGCTGCCTGGAACAGTGGTGAAGGCTGCCTGCGTTCAAGTGTCTGCCTCGCCACGCACCAGCTGTGTGATAGGGCAAGCTACTTAGTCTCTCTGAGCCTCAGCTTCTGCCCACCTAAAAGAAGAAAAAAACTACTTTACAGGGTAAAATATTGGATGAAGTGCTTATCTAAAGCTCTTGGAACAGCACTGTAAGCATAGTCATGATGCAAATAAATATCTATTGCTACCAGAAGACTACGGAGAGCATTCATGCTTGGAGCAAACTGTAGACATATGATGTTGTAAATGATCACAAAACTACGTATTGAAAATACAGGATATGGTGAAAGTGCTTACGAATGTTTTCTTGTTTAGTCTACGTAACATTCCTGTGAAAAAGGTATTCTAATTTCACAGACGAGAAACCTGAGGCTCGGTAATATTGAGTAACTTGTCCAAAGTCACACAGCTGGTGTGGTAGAAAAACATTCAAATCCCCAGGACCTGTGAATATTTACCTTGACATGTCACATGGCAAAGGGACTCTGTAGATGTAATTAGGTATTTGGAGATTGAAAGATTAACCTGGATGACCCCTGTGGGGTCCTAGGTCATCCTGAGAGTTCTTATAAAATGCAGTTGGGGGGTCGGAGCCAGAGAAGGAGCTATGAGCACGGAGACCGAGGTGTGTGTGAGAGGGCAAGCGAGGGCTGCTGGTTTTGAAGACGTAGGAAGGAGTCATAAGCCACGAAACTGCAGGTGCGCTCTAGAAGCTGGAAAAGGCAAGGTAGCGACCTCTGTCCTGGACCTCCAGAAGTAACGTACCTCTGCTGACGCCTTGATCTTCGGAAGATAAATTTCTGTTGTTTTAAGCATTATTTGTGGTAATTGTTACAGCAGCAATAGAAAACTAATGTAACTGGTATGTCAGTGTGCATACCAGGATTCAAACACAGGACACAGGTCTCATCTCTCCAAAGTCTGTGTTCTTACACACTCCTCTCTAGACTTTATCTGAGCCTTAAGGCAGTGCGCCGACTTTATTGATAAGGTTAATTCATTTGTTTGTTTAGCTTCTAATTATTTGGCAGTTCGAATAGTCTGAGGCATGATTTATTTTAAATGGTTGGCACTCTCAAAAACTTTTGTTTTTCAGATAATCTAATTGAATTGGGTGGAAAAAATTATAATTGAGAGCTTCTATGAGGCAAAACATATGTTCTTTCAGGGTTCATAGAGAAAAAAATCATCTGACCTCTGGAAAAGGTAAATATTTCCTACATTTTTTATTTTGCATTGATTTATATAAAAACTAGATTTCTTAGGAATTACAAAATATATAATATTTTTGCCTTGAGATATACTCTTAAGATTAAAAATGTGCTATGAAACAAGAGTCTTTCTTCAGGATGAAAATCTGTGTGAACCAGGTGCACTGAAAAATGAAGGTGAGGAAAAAATCCCTGCCCTCAGAACCCTGTCTCTGCTGGAGTGTGTTATGGGTTGAGTGGTTTATGTAGAAGTCTTAACACCAGAATATTATCTTATTTGGAAATAGGGTCATTTGAGATATAATTATAAACATGAGGTCATATTAGTTCGGTGAGCCCCTACTTTAATCAGACTGGTGTCCTCATAAAAAGGGGAAATTTGGACACAGAGCCAGACCTGCACACTGGGAGACACACACACACAGAGAAAACACCATGTAAATACTGGAGCTGCACGGCCGTCAACCAAGGCCGTACCAGGAATCAGAAGAGAGGCGGGGGACAGATCCTCACTCAACGCGTTCACGGGGCGCGTGGCCAGGCGCTTGGGCTTCCAGCCCTCAGCACCGAGACAGCAGGTTTCTGTGGCTGAATCAGCTCCGTGGGTGGTACTTTGTCACGGCAGCCCCAGGACTAGTACGGAGGGCAATGTTGTAGATATTGGGATTGTGAGAAATTATACTTTCTTTTGAATTTTTTTCCTTCAATTATTTCACAGGTCTTTCTGTTATATATCAGGAAATCAAGCTGAAAGAAGCTTTTGAATCAAATCTTACATTGCTCTCTCAGGCTGGGTCCTTTCTAAGTGACTCTGTTTTCTCATCAGTGAGAATTGGAGCCTGAAGAGGAAATTCTCAGTGCATACAATTCTCAGGGATTCATCTGCAGTTAGACACACAAGATTCTTTGTATCCTTCTGGGTAGTTCTTGAGTTTTGAAGGGGCCAGCTTCAGTTTCATAGATTGGGGGATGAATCTGATCTGATAGTATCTGAACTTGTTTAATTTCCTACCTAGAATTTACCAAGTGCCATTTAATTTTTTGATTGTGGAAAGTGATAGCTGAATTTAGAAAATGATTGCTGTCGTGTGAAATAAACAAGTCAATGGAACTGAAAATGAACGTGTAGGGAACACATGCTGTTCTCAGCTAAATTCTAACAGAATGGTTACACCAGTTAAGAGTTTACATGGAGTTAAGCTTTTTCACAGAGTGCTTCCTTGAATCTTTCCAATGAACTTATGAGATGTAGATCTTACTATCATTAAACAGATGAAGAAACTGAGGCGTAGTGAAGCCATAGGCCCACTGGATACGGAGCTGGGGTTTGCATTCATGGAGTTTGAACCCACAAACTGTGAAATATGACTTCACATAAGGAGCCTCTCTCACGCTAGTTAATCATCTTGTAATTCTTGGCATTTTGGAAAAATCATGATTTCCTTCTCCTGGGATTTTATTCACTAGAAATATAATGAAAATATGCAAGTCAACAACAAACTGAAGCCAAGATGACAAAATGGAAGGAATTGAACAGACGGTGTATGATTATCCTCTTCTTTTTCCATTAAGTTCCACTCTGCACATCCCACATAACTTTTGTTCTTTGATTCTGAACTTCATTTTTCGTTCTTATTTGAATGACATGACTTTGAGTGTGAATGCTGACCGAATGCAATCACTGCGGGAGCCTCTGCAGGGGAAGTGTGATTTATACCACTGGCATCCTGTGCTCACTGGATTAATCCTTACTGAGTGGCTATTCCTACGTGTCACAGGCATGGAGCAGGGGGTGGCTTACTGTTTGAGAATGTTCAATTCCAGGAGAACGTTTCAATAAATTGTAAGGGGGAGCAAGTAACACATTATATGACAGAAAATGAAATTGTCCCTATGCGATCCTAAGGCTGTACGATATTTTGTCATTTAAATCCACTTGAAAAGATGGCCATGTTTTTTACTTCCTGGACTTCTATTATAAAAATATGTCCAGAAATAACTGGACCATCAAGCCAGAACTTGAAAAACCTGACTCTAAAATAGATGTTTTTGTTTTAAAGATTTTTCTAATGTGATGCGACTTTAGACATAAATACGTAAATATGAAAGTATACGTGAAACACGATTCATTGCTAATAGTGGTATACTTACGTTCAGCACAATTGGTTGAGTAATATACATTGCAATTTCTGTGATTTATTGGTTTATGCTAAATAGCATACATCAGAAAGCTTCATTTGGTCACAAACATTATTCCCCACTTAAAAGGCATTATGGAAAAAATGTACATTTTACTATAGTTAGAATTAACTCGACTTGAGGAACGGTTAAAAGCAAAAGAATTACCAGCTGTGTTGGATGTTACTGGCCTTGCTATTGCTTCCGATTTGGTTTCACAGAGAAAGTCATCGATGGAGGGACTCAGGAGGGGTCTGCTTTCTTGCTGCTCATTCACCAGCTGAGAACAAATGAACACAGGTGTCAAAGGGCTTTGTTAAACTGCAGAATCAGAGGAATTAAAATGCAGCCTTGCAACAAAAGGAGAATGGCAAGCCTACCAAAAATAAATAAATACATAAATAAATGGGACGGGGGCAAGAAAGAAAAACGTGCCAAGAGGCGGGGAATGGGCCTTTTAGCACTGTCAACAGATTTCTGATGCAGCCAGCTTCAATGTTTAAAGCTCAAGCTGTTTTTCCCCCTCCTGAAATAGAATTATCCTCTACTTTCAGTATGTAGAAAATGACACCTATTGAGTCAGGGTTGCTGAGGGCCAATCCCACTCCTCACCTGGACAAAAGCTCCCACTGAGACCTGGAGCAGTGGCTTCACACTCGAGGTGACGTGTTCTGGTTAGCACTGCTCAGTCAGTGTTGATGTGCAGGGTGCAAACACACGACCAGCACACACGGGTGAGTGCCTGCCTCTTCTCCCTCTCTTAAAACGCTCAGGTCACCTAAAAACACACCCTCTACATTGCCTTGGAAAGCTTTGGTATCGCATAACACATACTATCTTGGGAGAGTAGAAAATACTGTTATATTAAGTGTATAGGCGTCTAGATAGGTTTGTGAAAAATCTACTTGTAAAACGGATCTCGGTAAATTCAATCGTATTTTCCCATCAGTTTATTCCCTAATTTCAGCAATCTTCCAGTTTGGTTTTTTAGTGGGTCTCTGATCATCAGTGCCAACCACTGTTCCCTTTCAGTTACTCTGCACCTCTTTGAATTCCATCTTGGCTCGAGGATGTTTCTGTGGTTAAGGGAGAAAACACACTTTTGATACTCAGGTGGTTGATCCCTAAATTAGCTGCCTTCATTTTTTGGGAGTTTTTATATTTGCCTTTCTTAAAATAGGCATAATCATCTAGTTTTTTGCTTAAGAAAAAGATGCACTTCATAATCTTCAGTTTTAAAAAAATTATTTATTTTATATAGGGCCAGGGTGTCTCTCTGTCACCCTGGCTGGAGTGCAGTGGCATCATCGTAACTCACCGCACCCTCCAACTCCTGGGCTCAAGCTATCCTCCCATCTCAGTGTCCTAAACAGCTGGGAATAGTGTGCACCACCATGCCTGGCTAATTTTTTAAAATTTAAAATTTATTTTTGCAGAGACGAGTTCTCACCATCTTGCCTAGGCTGGTCTTGAACTCCTGGGCTCAGGAGTTCAAGTGATTCTCCAGCCTCAACCTCCCAAAGTGTTGAGATTACAGGCGTGAGCCACTATGCATGGCTAATCTCTAGATTTTTGAGACCTTATTTGTTAAGTTGCATTTTGAGGCATAAAATGAGAAATGGAGTGCTTTGGAGTGTTACCAAATAAAAATAATGTTTTATCACTCTACTCACTTTCACTATATTGCGTCTTTGGCACAGTGTCAGTCATATCATAGTTTAGAGCCTATGGAGGGTGGCAAGGGACCTGAGTCATGGTAAATACGGGGAGAGAAAGTGCAATTCTTTTATTTCTGAAAGGGCAACATGGAAGCATTTAGTGGTCATTTGGAGACTGGAAGCCAAGAGACACCTTTGGTACTCTAACGTACGCACGCTATGTAAACATGGATACATCTCATTTAAACATGTGTAAGCCACAGATGTCCATTAGCGTTTAAGATTGTGGCACAGAGTTGGTAACTTGATTTTTACACATATTGATTTGTTACTGAGGGACAGGCTTTGAGAATGCTTTTCTTCTTTTACCTTCAAGTTACAGCGATAGGCCTTTCTTCAACTGTTGCAAGCTTTGGTGTTGCTTATGTATAAAACCTCACGGGTTTTGCTAGGAATCAAATTACCCAAGGTCTCCTTTGGTATTCATCTTTTATTTAGGGATGCTGCTTTAACTCATGAGTAAAACCCTGAGTCCCAGTGCTTTTTATTTTTTCTGAATTTGAACATTCCTAGGTGTCACCCATTCTATTCATATTAAAGTATTTTTAAATGTTGAGGGACTATGAGCCCCTATGTTTCTGGAACAAAATGTACTTGAATTTTTGTAGATGCTATGGTCTATTTGAGTTTAGGAATGATTTGCGATACTTTCTGGTATACAAGTCAATTTTATTATCTGGAAATGTAGCTGAAAGTACTGGTGTAGAATATAATATAATAGAACATGATGAAATGGCAAAACATCAATGATTCTGTGAGCTCATCTAAAAATATGATTAGTGTCCCGGAATCTGTATTTCATTTATAGTTGGTTCTTGTCCAAACTGTACATGTGTAACGGTTTCCAAAGGACCTATACATTGATGCATATTTCCTGGTAGAACTTGCTTTTTTAACCACTATGTGCTTAATGAAATGAACTCACCTAGTGTGATCAGCACAGTGATGAGGTCCTACCTTCACAAACAATGCTCACCTCCAGACTGTGGCCTGTCAAGTGTGATATGAATTCCGCTGTGTTATAAGCATTCACAGAGAATGAAGGTAACCATCAAATATGGCACCACCCTAAACTCACAGAAGTTATTGTAACAGGGTTGCATTTACTAAGCAGTGCATTCTGATGACTGGCCTCTTATTTACCCATTGGCAAAAGCATATAGAGCACAAAGACTAAGCTCAACCAGTACAACTGTGACTTTCGAATTATGAATATGTATGGATGATGTCGTAACTATCTCTTTGAGAGCCATTATTTCTTTGAAAAAAAGTTTAATTTCACTGACAGATGGCTAAGAATAACTGAGTTCTCTTAGTCATAATTTTGAGAAATATCAACTGTATCCTTACTTTGGATACAGTTAAATGCCTTTAAAAAAAAAACAACAAAAAACCAAAAAACAAAACAAAACAAAACCCTAAGAATTTATCCCTAAATCATAGTTCTGTGTACATATATGTGTGGAATAGTGAAATAGGCCTACATTATTTATAGTTTTCGAAAACCAGGGTGTTAGATTTCTGCAGATACTTTCAGTTGCAAATACATAAAAACTATAGTCTAAATTTGATAAAGTAATTCTAAAAGCAAAATTTTTGTTAACATCCAAATGGAAAGCAAAGGAAAAGGCACAATTCAATGAGGGCCCTGTCCTTGTGGGTCTGTCTGCTTTATCAAAGGTAATGAATGTATTTTTTTTTTTTTTTTTTGGAGCCTGTCTTTTCATTCAAACTTTAGACAAATTTTCTGGAGAAAGCACCACCAGCACTCCCAGATTTACTCGGCATACAAATAAAGGGATACCAAAGGAGAGGCTGTCCAGAGAGACTCCGGGGAGCCCAGGACAAAGGCATGGCATCTTCAGGCGTCTGCTCCTCTGCCTCAGGAGGTCTGTGTCTCTTCCACACCTACTGTCCCACTTCTGACCATAGCTCACACCTGGACTGATGGAACTGTTGTGACTGCCCAGCTTCTACAGCCATGCTGCTCCTGTGGCTTTCTTCCATAAATTCAAATCAAAGGAGTAACAAACGACCTTCTGCGTCAGTGTCTTTCAAGCTGGAGCACAGTTTAGCTACCGAGAAATACTTGGGCTGACATGGAGGATAATGGCAGGGCTCAAGGGTGAAAGGCCAGATTACAGATAGCATGGAAAGGTAACTGAAACGGAAGGAAAAGTGTTTTGGATTTGATGGGAAATACGGAAGATGAAACAGGAGGTATTATGAAGATACAGAAATTTTGGCTTATAAGCTCTGAAGCCAGAGACTATCTTACTGACATTCATATTCTTCACAACTTCAAATAGAATGTCTACATCTAAAAGGGGTTCAATAAATGGCTATTAAATGAGAAAGTGACTTTGCAGAAACTGCAGATGTAAAAATATCTGTCTAAAACGGTCCAATTTTAAATTACATCTTCAGTTGCACGAATTTAAGAATGATTATTTTAGTCATAGGAAGTCCCATTTTATTTATATTTGTATAGCTAAGAATAGCTTTTTCCATGCCCTCTTCTTCATTTTGAACAAGTTTATGATATTTTCTTCGGTGACCTGAGAACAAATAAATCTTTTAGATCATAAAAGAACATTTCAAATTGAACTGAATCTCCCAAGGATTCCCTTTAAACTTAATTTCCAAATTGTATAACATTTGCTCTTTCCTTATGCATTAGTAATATAAGGTTTCTTGACTTCCTTTTAGTTTGAAAATACCTTTAGGACCTCACCTTATTTTGTCTCTTGGGTATGAGTACACTGATGTTATACAAATAATAAAAATTTAAAAAAATAACTGAGGTGAAATGATTGCAATTTCAGCCTAATCAGATTATCATAGCTGAGTTTAAATGATCCCCTTCATTAGTTGTTAAAGACTTTATCTCAGTTTATTAACATTTCAAATTTTTATTTCTTATCCTCCTCTTTCCTCTTCTCAATATTTGGATCAATTCAAAGAACCTTCTGTTAATGGCGACAGATTCTTCTTTCTCTTTCAGGGTCCCATTCAGCTGGCACACTGTCTAGGATCCTTCTTCAGTGCCAACCCGTGAGGGCCTCTTTACAGCACCTGCATGTCCCCATGTCTTGCCCAGTGTCATCATCTTAGTTTTCTCTGTTCCCCTCCAACCGCCAACTAGACTGTGACTCCCTTTAGAGATCTCATCCAAGCATTTTTTTTGTATTCCATAGCAGGAGTTTAATAAATGTTGACTGATTTTATGCAGTCTAACTGAATGGCAAATTGTACAAAAGAATGATTGCATGGGTGTCCTCAATTTAATGCTGGGGTTGATCGATTCACAGAGAGGTCAGTGGCCCTCAGAAATGTTTGCCAATTTCTTTGCAGTTTTTAAACCACACACTTGAGCCCATTTTCTCCAAGTCACAGCTTTTAAATGTTTGGAGACCTACTGATACCTAAGGAAACATTTCCAAATACAAAGCTTCTACCCAGAATGTGAAGCCTTCTACCAAGAAGTCAAAGCACCAAGAGAGAATGACCAATGAAAAAAATTAAAATAAAGGCCTACGTCTGCCCCATTCAACGCTTGGAA